CACGTGGCGTGTGGGTTGGGGAGAGTGCTCGGCACGTGGTGGATCTCCACACCTTTGGTTTCAGAGAGAAGCTGTGGAGGTGGAACCCCTCTTCACAACGAGCTCGTGCGTCTCCTCTCACGTGGATGCTCACACACATGTCACAGGATGCGGTGAGCAAATTAGATACTTTATAACTTGGTTTGCGAAGTCTTGCACTTTTGTTGCCGCAGTTTTAGAAATAAATCGAAGTGGAAGTGTTTTAAAATAGGTGGAAGTTGTGTGAAGTCTGAGCCTGATCTTGTTGATGCTTAAAGAGTTCCCCATCACTTGTTCTGCTGGGGGCTGAGAGCCGGTTCGGGACCCCGTGGTCTGCACAGAGTTCAGCTTCTGAAAGCTTGACTGGAGGCCAGATCACCTGGTAGGTGTCACTGTCGAGTTCAAGGCAGAGCTGGATGCAACACCTGGACGTTATTCATAACCGGCTGACTGACAGGTAGGGTACGACTTTGTTCTGCCTGCGTCATGGGGCCTGCGCAGCTGTCGGCATGTGTGGGTGGTCTGAGCAGTGACATTCTCTGCGTCGAGGCTGTGCGGATCACAGAGAGAAGCACGTTTTCTCCTGAGAGTCAGCCTCTGGGAATCCAGCTCAGCGCGTGTTGTGGCCGGCGGTGTGTCACGTGTGTCAGGGACAGCACTTTCTGTCCGTTCCCTCTGTCTGTGACAGATGCACTCCTGGAAAGCAGCGTGTCAATCCCAGTAATTCCCTTCTCTCCGTCAAAGAAGGTGTGCTGTGGATGTGGTGCAGGTATTTTCTTGTTTCTGCGGCATTTATTGCAACTGCCTGCGGGATTTCATCATTTGCCTTTGCGAAACATCCTCGTGTCCTTTACGAGAAGGACTGTGCGTGCGCTCTTCAGTCGTACAGCAAAGTGTGAACCTTTTCTGATAAATGGTGAGAAGAATTTAAAGGAGTTTTACTGAGTAACTTGCTTGTGACTAGTTGGGCAGCACCACTTAGACCTTTTGATACCAAAAGTACAAAACAGACTCGGTGCCCCTGAGGCTGGTAGTTACTTACACTTCCATCCCTTACCTGTTCAGCTTTTGGGGTTTCTTGCTTGGGATTTTTGTTTCAGCAGTGGTATCTACATTTCTAAATTACGTTATTGGACAGCGTAATACCTTGTTTAACTTGTTTGTGGATGACTTTACAACATCAGGAAGGTGCAAAGCTACCAGCACGGCAGTTGGTCCTTTGACTTAAAGATACCAGAAGCTCTTAGAAGTTTTTGACTTCACACGCCACACTTAGCTTAACTCTGGCTGGTCTGGTTTTGTATAGTGTAGGCATTGACATGCAAATAGGCAAAAGGACTAGAAAAACTAGGTTCTGTCCAAATGACTTACTCAAGACTTGCTTCAGTAAATTATGTTAAGCTTCATTGCTTTCTCTTAATTGTTTTGGCACTCACTTTAAATGTAATTTCAAAGAGTGAAATTGTATTGTGAATATTCTGGATGACCTGGTACAGAAAGTGAAGAGCAAAATATATGATAATAGAGTCTGCAGTACAGATTTACCAATCAATTATGAAGTTGTGCTGTTGTGATGGGTATTACACTTTCAGGGGGTGCTTTCATCTCTTGGCTTTCAGTCTGAGCTTCAAATATAGCAGCTCTCCTGTAGGCAAGTCAGTCTATTACAAAAATAAAGGAAATACCTAAATTGATTTCATATTTCATCTACACTCTAGGACTAAAAGGTGTGAACGTGATGTGATGTTTATGCTTTATCAAAGATTTTTCAGGACAGCAGCTGGTCCTGGTATTGCAGCCTTCCTTGAATGGCAGTTTTGACCCAAGCTGTTACCTGTAGTGTGTAAGTGAATTCTTTTGTGTACGTCATGGACACAGAGGAGGAAATGCAGATTACACAGGTTGGAATGTGAAGCAAACGGGATGGTTTTGGCTTCTGGCATTTCAACCTAGTTGAAAGTAACTTTTTGCTCTGGGCTTTTAATAGTAGAACAGGACTTAATCCTGGCTTTTTGGCTCATGAAAGCGAAATGCTATTATTGTTGTATGTTCAACTGCGTGCAAATTCATGTGAATCTCTGCTGAATGAAAGAACTGAATGTAAAAAAAAGAAGTGATGAGAGTGTTGTTATTCCTAGTGTAAGTCTGATGCAAAATATATCACTTTATCCTTTTAAAAATACTCCTGGCACCTTAGGAGAACTTGTGACTATTATTTAAGGTGACTTCCGTGAATATTTTGTGCTTTAGGTAATAGTTACAAAGCTTGTGTGTAACTTGCAGGGATATGACTGAACTTTCAAATAACACTCAGCTTAACGAGTGGTGCGAGGTGCCTATAAGGAGAACACAGCAAAACTTGATTTCAGTTAAGTCTTTGATACTGGTGACTTCATTTGTACGTAGTGTTTTTACTGGAAGGGTTCACTGCAGTGAAACTGCTGCAGGGGGTAGTTCCGCTCCACGAGTCCTTTTGTAAGGCAGCTGCTATTGTGCAGGAGAGGGGAGAGCAGAAACTTGCATCCATCTGTATGACCTTTTTAAAGACCTTTAATTATAAGATAACTTGACAATTTTCTTAAGTCTGAATTTTTATTTCTCAATGCCTTCTCTACAAGACCACAGCACGCTGGAGTTGTTGTTACAAAGCATGTGTGGGCCTTCCGACTGCTGTGTTACGTGGTTGTGTTTTGGTAGGGACCCTGAGAATGTGTGTTCTTTGCATTTGAGCTGAGCAGAGGTGTTGAACTGGCTCTTTTTTCTCCTTTTTGCCTCTTGCAGATACATGTAAGGCTGTTTCAGAACAGAATCCCACCATGTGAGCTATGTGTGATAGTCCTTGCTGCAAGAGCTTAAATAAAAAATTGAGACTAAACATAAGAAAGGAAGATGCAAGAAAACATGGAGAAAACAGTGGAATTGTAGCACTGATGATGAGAAGCCTGTATCTCGTGCATGTACAAGTTTCCTTCTGTGAATATTGGCTGCTGATTGACTAGAAGGATGTAGTACTTGCAGAGAATTGAAATCGTGCCCGTCTTGTGTCTTCAAGGATGCACTATCTTGGGGAGTTAAGGAAGCCCTCTAGTGTGTCTTGTCTTTTGACAAACTAGTGGAGTCATTCCAGGGCTGTGATAATGGCTTTGGGGGTGAACAGTCATCCTGAGATGTTGAGTTCCTGTTTTCTGTAGCAATAGTTTTCTTTGGATTTCTCTTTCCACCCCCACTGAATGGTTTGCATAGTTGCATCCTCAAGGACAGATTCTCTGCATAGATGTGACGTATTTGGAGACCTTGGAAGAGATACTTCCAGATACCGTTACTGGTGAGGCAGGGGAGTTTGGAGAAACTCTTAAGAGTGACAGCAGCTTTGGTATGAGTGAATTTTTGTTCTTTTTTTTCAAGGAGTCAAGGACTGGCTTTGCTGTGCAAGGTAACAGTGGGATAGGTACACAGACTTTGACAGAAGTCAGAAGCTTGTTGGAGGAGGTTTGAAGCCTCTGTCTGGAGAGAAGCCCAGGAAAAAGGGAAGGAAACTCTCATCCAGCTCAGAGCAATTACAACAGCACTGTAGCAACAGGCAAGAGAAGCAGCTGTATAAAGTTTTGGCCTTGTGGGGGTGAGGACTTGTAAATAAAAAATTGCTGAAGATTATGTGGAAGCTGAGATACTTGCCGTGATGCAGAGATCAATATAAAGTCTTAGAGCAGCAAGGAGATAGGGAGTTCCTAAGAGAAAAGTGGCAAACTGAAAGAGCTGGCCTTGACAGATGTAACACTTGAGGGCAAACGCTGCTTTCATTAATTCAGATGAACTCCAGAATAGGCTATTTTAGCTCCTCCTCTTGAATGGGCTGTTGTAGCTCCTGCTCCTGAATGGGGAAGTGGAAGGACCGTATGTATGAGACATTCTGGGCACTGAGGTAAAAAGACTTGAAACGCAGGAGGAATTGTGCAGTTTGATTTATTGCAGAGAGGAAGGAGGAGTTGGCCTCAACCATGGCAAGCTCTTCCGCTAGGAGTAGGGCGGGCTTCTGGCTTTGTTTCTCTTAATTGGAATGGAATTGTGCAAGTTATAATTACTCTGGAAAAACTACTGTCACAAAAGCAGCGGGATCTTCAAGGATCATAAAAAATTGAGGCTGACAGATTGAGGTTGTTTTGGAGGAGCTATCGATAGCGTTGCCTTGCAGTCGTTTATCATCGTGTACTTGGCTCGCCATTGGTACCTGATGAACGTTTGTGAGAGTGGAAACTAAATTTTCTCATTATTCTCCTTAGACTGAAATTGGGTGAAATGAAAATGTTTATGTTATGCCACTGCCAACCATCTGGAAAAAATCTAATTTGGTCTATCCATAAAGTAGTGCTGGAATGCTTCATAAATCTGTAAGTTATGTGCAGGGTGCTTGGCTTTACTGAGAAAAAGTTTGGTGTTTCTTTACACGCTCCCTCTAGAGGGAAAAATCTCCACTTGTCTCTTCAAGAGTTCATAGCAGTAGCCTGACAAAACTTCTCGTAGGGTCTCTAGGTACTGATTTCATGATTTACAGAGGGGCTCGACATCTTTATACAACAGTGAGATTTTGAGATACAAGGTTCGCTTCCTTGTTCCCAGCTTTCTGGGTTAAGGTTGCTGAAAAGGAGAACTTTTGTTTTGCCAGTTGTCTTTTTCCTTCGGTCCTCTGCTCCTTCTGGCTGTACTTTCCGAAATGTAATTTGCAGTAAATAAGATATATTTCACAGTAATGGATATGAGGTACTGGAAAGAAGTCTGGCACGGTACATCAGCTGTTCCTGTGGTAGGTAGTGTTTGCCTTCAGAATGACTTTGGTATCAGAGAAGGCTGTTTTATTTATGAATGCAAAAATCCATCTTTTACCATGGGAAGAAATAGGAAAATTAGTATTTGTCAAATCCACATGCTTGTGCACATAAGAGATGTGGAAGTTGCTAATTCTGTTTCCTTGTCTTGTCAAACAGATCATCTAAAGCAGCTGGGTATTTGCAAAAGAAGACTTCGACGGCGCACAGATACTTCATCTCTAAATTGAGTTCAACGATGCGTTAGAGGAAGCTGGATTGACGGGACAGAGATTTCACGCTGAAGGATGAATAGTGAAGAAGAGTTCTATGATGCCGTCACGGGTGAGTGATGGGCACGGAGACAAGAAAAAAAAAGAAAGCTATAAGCTGTGTGTGTGGTGAGGGGATAGGAATATGTTGCTGTTAATAAATAGATAAAAAGTAAACTGCTCTTGGTAAAACTTTTAGTGCTGCCTTCCAAGAAGACGAAAGGTTCAGATTTGCAAGTGAGGGGTTTTTTTAATAAAGCTTAATGCTGGCTATAATTTTACCACTGTAACAGTCCTTTAGTGGCCAAGTCTTGCTTTCATTTTCTGTAAAATGCAGGTAGTTTAATAGAGGATTAATGCTCTTCAGACCCTTTGAAAGGTGAAATATCTTCTGTGGCTTACTTTTGTTGTTATTTTATTAGATTCTATATTTTAATGGAAAACTTAGCCAAAGAATTGAAGTAGAAAATGTTTTTCTAGTCAGAAACAAATTACTGTACAAGTATGCTTTCAAGAAAGGGAGCCAAAAGTCTTTGCAATCCAGTGGAGTTTCTAGAAAAGCAAACAAGAATCACTTCACACTTGAGCAGTGTGTCAAATAGTACTTTTCTTTGAACTAGGAAGAATGAAACGTTATTTATAAGAGCCTTATATGGTTTTACTGGTGAAATAAAATGCTTGAAGTATTTTGATTTAAAAAAAAGTCAAATAATCCTTGTAAAGATCTCTCACAGTTTTTAAGTCTTCCACTTAAATGCCTCTTCAGAAATCCTTTAATAGAGGTGAAATGAGAAATGCTGGCAATGGTGAGTGTGGAGCGCTTGATGTAGAGCCCTGGGAATGAAGACAGAACAACGAGAAGCATGAAAACAGAAGGAATGGAAGTAGCATGGTGGATACAAGTGGGTTGTGAAGACTCAGACATGGTTGTTGGAAATTCATATGAGGAGTAAACAAAGGGGTGAAGCACGGTGACTGACAGCAGGCTGTACGGGTCTGGTCACAGTTATGTCACAGAGGGAAGAAGGAAATCTGGATTGCATTCACAGAATCACAGAATCACAGAATGTTGGGGGTTGGAAGGGACCTCTGAAGATCATCTAGTCCAACCTTCATCCCAGCACACCCAACCACTACACCACAGCCTCAAGTGCTAGATCTACTTTTTTTTTAAACACCTCCAGGGTTGGTGACTCCACCACCTCCCTGGGCAGCCTGTTCCAGTGCCTCACCACTCGTTCAGTAAAGAACTTCCTCCGAATATCCAATCTAAACTTACCCTGACGCAACTTGAGGCCATTTCCCCTTGTCCTGTCATTAGGAATTAGAGAGAAGAGACCAGCACCAGCCTCACTACAGCCTCCTTTTAGGGCTGATAGGGGTAGGACTCCCCATTCGTCTGTCGGATCAAACCGTTGTACCATGAAAATCTTGAAAACACAATGGATTGTCGCTGTATTTCTTTACTAATCTTTCAATTCCAAGAGCTCAGGACCATGGCCATAAATGAAGTAGATTTTATTCCCCCCCCCACCTCGCCACTGAAAAAGGTTAACAGAAATATGGCCCTGCATCATGCAGCTTTGACGCTGATGCGTTCCTCTGTCTCTTGCTGCAGGCGTACACAGCCTGCAGTGTTTGAGTCATCTGTGTTTTAACCCTCTGGGTTTGTCTTCTTTCCTCTTCTTTTTCTCCTTTCCTCAACCTCAAAAGGTTGATTCTCCCTGCAAGTGCTCAGGGTGGTGATCAGTTCAGAGCTATTGTGCTGAGATGTTTTGTACCTTGCAGCCTTGTCTGGCTCCGCTCCGCAGTGGGATGTCACGCGTCGGTTCTGTGGTTCCCTGAGCGCTCCTTGTCCCGTCCTATTCTTCCACAGGGAGGAATGTCGTTGGTTTAAAAGGAGCGCTAAGTTTGGAATAGTTTGTTTTAAGTTCTTTCTCCCTTGGGACTGTCTCTAGCTAGATTCTTTAGAGGATGCTGGCAGTTCGATGAAATACTTGCACAGACCTAGGGAAGCCTAGACCTAGTTCTTTGTAGCTCTGTCTTGTCCAAGTCATCTGTAAATATGATGCTGAGAACAACTGTGACTAGGTCTTTCTGCATTTTGCCTTCTTTAAAGTAATGCAAGTTCACTCCTTGAGGAAGCCACAACTTTTCCGTAGTTATTAACAGGTGACATCCACTTCTAGAAGTCCAGGGAGACCCCTGGACTTTGTTGTGGTGGATTTAATATCTGAAATCCTGCAAAGTTTCTTGCTTTCTGCCACTGTCCCCATCACAGCCTAAGGACATGCTCACATGATGGAATTGCACGCCGCATGGTTGGGAATCATCCTCCTGGCAGATGGTTTGCCCCTGACTGGGCGATGACTGCACTTGGAAATGTGCAGGATGGGCCGGGTGATGACTCAAGTTAGTGACGCTTTAAAGGGTTTCCATGGAGAGAAGTCTCTGTGCATTCAGAGGTTATTAGCATTGCTCATCAGTGGGACACCTGACATCCTTACCTCAGGAATGAGGTCCTCGCCTTGGGAATGGTACCTGTGGTAACAGCACAGCTGCTGCTTTGTCTCAGATGTGGGAGGTAGTTTTCTCTGTAACTGGATCAGGTAAAGCGGTCAATGCTGTGATGAATTTCAGATTCTTTGAAATTTGACGTGAGATGGGGAGCACACCGCTTTGGTCGCCCTCCTCTAGCCTGTGTCACCTTGGGTTTCTTAATCTTACCGCAGACGTGTTAAAGACTGCGAGCCGTCAGGTTCTGCTGTCAGAACTGTGAAATTCAGTACTTCTGTCACTCTGTTTGCCAAAGTGTTCTGTGAGGGGATTACCACAGAACAGGAGAACGCTTGGCTAATTACCAAGGTGATTTATTTTTGATGAGCATGAATAGTTTAGTTGATATTTTGAAATATCAACCTGCAGTTCCATGGAAACCTGTTCTTTGTCCATGAGGTTAACCCAGCCTGGTGTATTTGTGAGGATGTTGCCCTTCTGTTTCCTGCTGCGTGGCTGTTTGCTGTAAGCTATTGCTTTCACGTGGGAGGAGAAGGTGAGGTATCTGCTGCCAAATTTATCTATTTTCATAATATCTGGACTGAACTGAATTGGCAGATTCTGCTGTAATATTTAAGTGTTGCAGGTATTGGGAAAGACCAGCTTGCCGCGTCTGAGAGGTGCACCATGGCTGCAGAGGGCCTTGTTTTGAAAAGCGGAGAACGATGCTTGCTCACGAGGAAAAAATTACCTCCTGCTTCACTTGCTGTCTACTCTTCCAGTGTACTTATCCCTATTCCTCATGCCCTTTCAGATCCAAAGGGTCTCAGTACTCTGCTATTTTGATTCCCTTTGAGTTCTTTTGATTCCCTTCATCTTGAGTGACGAGACTTAACTAATAATTAAGGAAGTTGCTGACTGTACGCGAGGGCGGGCTGGTCTCTGGGTACTGACTCACAGAGCAGTGTGCCGCTGGGCTCCCGCCGAGGTGGCTGTGTGGCACAGCCTGCGAGGACGTGGTTCGTTTGCAGGATGTGGAAGAAGAAGGCTAAGAAAACTAGACTTACCGGCAAGTCACTTTTCTTTAAGCTCTTGAAATAGGTGGGTGTTGGTGCCCAACTTGAGTATTTGACTTGGAAAATTGCTTTTGAAAAGCTTTTGTTTCACCCTTAACACACAAATTGAACCTTTGGATTAAGCTAATTTTTGGCATTTTATTTCTGTGTGTGGTTCCCTACCCCCCTCTTAAATTCTCATTTTTATTCTCACTCCTAGTGAGGCTAAATCCCTATAAAAACTGTCCTGTAAGTAAAACTTACCTGCTCAGTTTTGCAAATTCACGGCTTTAATGGCAGTTGGGGAAAGGCTTTTTCTGTAACTTACATTATCATTTCATTAAACTGTTTTTATTCCGGATCAGTACTTCCTTTGTGAAGAAGATTCCCTGGATAGTTCTTCACAAAACTGTAGTACGTAGAACTTCATTGAGAAACAGCTTTTAAAACTTTGTCAACGGGCTTTTAGTTGCTAAGTCAGCTGATACTTAAGGTGAAAAGTCTAGTGATTTTTATCTAGCTGTGTACTAGTGGTTTCTCTAGTTGGCTGGCTGGTTTTTGGGTGTGGGTTTTTTGTTTACTCTTTTAAAGTAATTAGGTGGAGGTACACTAATAACTTTGCAATTCTCATGTATCTTATTTCTCTGGAGCAGGGATTTAATTTTTGTTGCTCTTATGCAAGACTCTTGTTTGAGTTGGCATTTATTTACTTACCAGTGATGTACTATTGTCCATAAATAATACATACACTGGAATTGAAATTCCCATCATGCTGTGTAGGAACAGGGCAAAACAATTCTGAATCATATAAAACCAGAAAGACTAGTATGGGTAAAAATAATGAGCATTTGATAGGGTTTACAAGGTTTCAGGTACAATGTCAAGACTGTAATTCCAGTAACGTTTTGTATAACTATTCCCCTACAGACCAGTGGACTATTCCTGTTACGAAGCTCCACTTTTAAATTCAGATGTGTTTATCTCATCAAAGTGCCCATTAAATGTGATGCTGTTCCTTACGGTGTGGGCGCTTCGTCAGCTTTCTGGGTGAGGGCACGTGTACCAGAAAGCTCATCTGTTCTTTCCAACTTAATCAGTCACACTAATAAAAGTTATTTTGCTGTGCCCTACAATGGCCTTCTCCATCTCCTCGTACTATAACAGGTTCCAAAAAACCCCTAATACGTGGTTAGAAATGCCATTTTGAAAATTATTAAAGTTTTGTTGGGAGTTGGCTGGTTTTTGTTTGGCTATTTTGTTTTGTTTGTTGTTTTTTTTTAGACGGGTGTTTCAGGGTAATCTTCATATTAATGACCTGAATATATATATATATATGACTGTCATACTTTCCAGTTAAGTACTAAGACTGCTAAGGTGTGGTTATTGCTGTATAATTACATGATTGTGACATCAGAACGTAGGAGACAGTTTAATACGTGACGTCACCCGTTACAGCTGCTGTTTACCAGATCAGATCACATCAGCGGTGCTTCCTTGTGCTGTTCTGAATGTCATTGTGTGGTCAGGATCCCTGGAAAGAAGAAATGCAGCTTTTTCTTTCTGAATGTGTGCCTTACCTGAATGGCTCTAACAAAGTAAAAGCACCCTGTTGGAGATGCCAAAGAGAAACTTAAAATTCCTGAAAACTGTGGCAGGGGCTGTATGCCAGCAAATACATGTGTTTTCCTGTTGCTTTTGGATTTTGACTCTTAAATTAGAAGCTGGAAACGCAAGTCTGTGCTTGGGTCTTGGTGAAGAATTGACACTTGTGGCACTTGGAGAGGACTTAACACCCTTTGAACGATTTGCAACAGAAGTGTTCCGCTGAACGATCAGCAGTGCTTTCTGTGGTGGTACCCTGACCGTTGGGAAAGGGGATTTATTAATGCATCATTTTAGGGTGTCCTGCAGTGATGCTGCAACTTGTTCTTACTTGTTGTGAGCAGTCGTTTCGTTCCTGCAGCCGGGCTGAGTAGCAGCATTGGCAAGAGCCCTGTTGCTGGGCAAATGCATGTATGTGCATAAAATGATTTTTTACAATTTAATGGCACATGCAAAAAGAAATTCTTGTTATTCCAAGTGTGCGTGTGGAAGTAGTGTGGCTGCAAAAAAAAAAGTAAAATCGTTAGGCTAAAATCTTGTTGGTTTAGTCCAACTTGTACTTAGAGCTGCTTGAATATAGAAGCTTGTGTTCCTGGCGATTCCTGTTGGTTTAACTTGGTTTTTGGTCAAAGCTGCTCCAAACAAGTTGTTACCGGGAGTGCTGGTGTTCAGTTAGAATGGTGTTCCCAGTCGCTGGCTGCCCCGCTCGGTGGGAATGGGTCACAGGAGATGGAGCCACCTGCTGTGGGCTGTGCTTTGGGACTGCTTGTAGAGCCCAGGAAGTGATTCATCTGGTGTCCACAGGTTCTTCTGGTAACTGGGAGGGAAACCTTACGTGGTTTGCACACCTGGATGGCCAAACAGTCAGATAGCCTTCCTTGCGGTTCCTCTAGTAGCCTGGGTGTTTGCTACTGGCTACAGACCTGGCCCTTTTCTTTGTTTGTTTTTCTTTCATTTTGTTTTTTTTTTCTCCTTGCCTGTTAGCAGCATAAGTAGGCTAAGTTAAATTTTTTAAGGTCTTTGAGGAAAACTACGTAACTGAACAAAATTACTGTGATCACGCTGCAGCTCTGAAGAAGAGACAATACTGCTAATGCGATTAGGAGCTATTAAAGAGCTTGTAGGGTTCTAAATCGGTGTTATATTCAGGAGTGTGAAAAGTAAGTTGAGAATGCTTGATTCTAATGCAATACTTGGCTCTAAATGCTTTTGAAAATTAGGTCGCTTAATCAAACTTTTCACTCTGATTTTCCTGAAAATAAAATATCTTGGTAGAAGTGTCCTTCTGCTGTGAGAGTTACAAAATGTGAATGGCGCTCTGGTATAACGAGATTCCTAAGAAAACTGTTGCCTCGTGGTTTTTCTGCAGGCTTTGATTCTGACAATTCTTCAGGAGACTTTTCAGAAGCAAATCATAAAGTTGCAGAAATGCTTGATCTAGATCTGCACCAAAGCAATAGGAGCGGAAAGCATAATGGAGAGACGGAGATTCAAGAAAATGGAATTAAGAGACACAGGTAAACACGCAGTAGTACGTAGTAAATGAGAAGTGAGTGTGTGCTGACTGTCTTTTGGGCATTGCTGTTCTCATTGGAAGAGGTTAATTCTCTGGAACTGAAAAGACATTTCACTTGTCAGCTCTAGGTTAATGCTTTGCTGCCATTGTAAATTACTTTAATACCTGCAAATGATAATGTCTTGGTTTTTAAGGGTCTGATAATGACAGTTGTTCTTTTTCCAATTACAGGACGTCGTTACCTGCCCCAATGTTTTCTAGAAGCGATTTTAGTGTGTGGAGCATATTAAAAAAATGCATTGGACTGGTAAGTTATGGATCAAATATGCTGATGTTAGGGCTTCTGACTTCAACTGGTTAATTTTATTGCTTAAACCTGAAGGTGTAGAATAATACCTGGTGCCTTTTGTGCTTTTTTTTTTTTTTTTTTCCTGTAGGGAACATCATCTTAAACTGCAGCTCTCTAAATCTCAACATTAATTTACTGATGGGACGACTTCCTTAACTTCTTTAGCTCTTGGAGCATGTGGACTGGCATTTCTAATGCTGTCCTATGAGAACTAGACTAAAGTCATTAAAAATATAGTCTGATATAGTTTAATTAACTTCTCTGCTTTTTATTTATTTAGCAAATTGTGATTTAGGGCTTTATTCTGGTGTGGTGGTTTGTTGGTTTTTTTTTTTTTGGAGACGGGGGAAAAAGCCCTTCATAATTTAAGCAATTTGTGCCAAAAAAAAATTGCTTTCATTGGAGTGAAGGGATAGAAAGTTTGGGATCTGTTTCTTAGAGAGCACAGCGTAGACTTGGGGTATTAATGAGGTGATGTAATTGGGTCACAAGATTTGTTCTTCACGCGGAGATGCAGACCTTTACATTACAGTTTTCAGGCATGAGTGCAACTTCTTAATTAAACGTGCAAATTTGCTTGAATATAGTAAAAGACCTGGGGAGTTAGAAATCTCTGTGTGAACTTCATGCCTGTCTTGTATCTCATGCAAAACGAGAAACATTCTGACGCAAATAACAGGTTGCTTAAATAAGAGCACTAAAATTTGTTAAAGCAATTCAAGTCCTATTCTTTATGTAACTGTTCCTTTCAAAAAATAATTTGTGGTTACGGCAGTAAAATTCTTAGAATTTATGCAAATAGGTATGTGAGGATTTCAAGGAATGCGTGGTACTTAAATATGAGGAAAGAAGCGGTTGGCACATTATTGCTGCTACCTATGGAAATTTTAACCTCTTCTGGTTTATCTAGACCACAGAATAGAAGATACTGTTTTTGTTGAATATACTAGGTTAGTTGGATCAATTTTTGAAGTTTATTTTTCAGGTTCCTAGCAGGGTTCTGCAGTGCTTCCAGTCCCTTTCTCCTACAGGCTTGCTAAACGTATTTTGAAGAATGCTAGAAATAAATCAACGCGCAGTTTATTTTCAAGATTTTTGTCGTCACTTGTTAACTTTGTGTCGTGTCTAAGAAATGAACTTCTTTTATTACCTAGGAGCTGTCTAAGATCACGATGCCTATTGTCTTCAATGAGCCATTGAGTTTCCTTCAGCGGATAACAGAATATATGGAACACATATACCTCATTAATAAGGCTTGTAGTCATGCAGACCCCCTGGAGAGAATGCAGGTCAGTAATAGCTCCCACCTTCTGCTTAGCTCCGAAGAAGCTTTTCTTTCCTAGAGGCTTTAATTTTAAGCTCAGTTCTCACTTGAATGTATTTCTTTCTCTGGGGCTATCATAGAATGCTCGTACTTGTCCGTCCAGACAAGGTTCTTGTTTTGCAGTGGCTGTATCAGATGTTGTTGGCGCTTTCACAGTTGATGCTGGGCACAGCTTTAGCCAAAGGTCTAGTGTGAGGCTGCCACCACTGACGATGGCCAAGGAGCTCGGCTGTTTTCAGGACTGCTTTAGCTGTGACTCTCTGCCGTTTCATGTGTTGGGAAGCTGAACTCTTGGCTTTAAGTCACCCTAATTTGATTTGTTGAGTGGCTCCATAATTTTTAAGTTGCTGGATGAAAAGTTGCTGTGACAAAGACAAGCTTTATCACTTTTTCTCCAAAAAGTGAGAGTGAAATATAGCACCTGGCTGATCTCACAACAAGGAACTGAATATGGGGAAGCCATGGCTGTGTATGTTAGGCTATACTGGTATTACTCACAGCTCTGCGTTTACTTAAGTGTCTCTTGTACTCTGTGTCTGTGTAGTACATACCCCTACTCAGCAGCCTGCAGCAGCTTTTAAGTGTCATTTGTACCTGCAGGTAGTCCCACCCGTGTAAGAAATAATACTTGCCCGACACTAGGAAAAGCAGGACTCTGTTCTCAGTGAGAGTGTGGGGAACAGTTAAAATAGGGGGAAAATAGATTTAAAGAACGAGAGTGTAACGATGAAAGTTACTACAGAAAATAACTCCTTTTGGAAATGAGATTCTTATTAACCACTTATACTTCCCCACTTCTCTGTAACTTATCCTGTGGCTTACAAATGTTTTGGCCTTAAGCAAAATAGAGCCCTCTCTTTTGGGGAGAATAATGAAACACTGTAATGTGCCACAAATATACTACATTAAACTCTGGACTTTTAATGTACTTTTCTCATAACAGTGTGTTCTTAATTTGCTTATAGGCCGTAGCTGCTTTTGCAGTTTCTGCCGTAGCTTCTCAGTGGGAGAGAACTGGCAAACCATTTAACCCGCTGTTAGGAGAAACCTATGAATTAACCAGGTAATAATTACTTTAAATTGGGAGCTGGAGCTATTTATGTTCTTGAGAGAGCAGACTCTCATGCTAGTTTAGTTGTTTATTCAGTGACATAAAAAAAAAAATCTACTAAAATATATTTCTGAGTATAGCTAAAATTCTTTTCCCCAGACCGTCTCAAAATCTTGGAAAAGTTGTTATAAAAGCTAAAAAGTTTTATTTCTAGGTTTAGGCAGAGTATTCTTTGAAGTATTCAGAGAAAAAATTGGTCTGTGTTTTTCCACCAAACACATTTCCTGAGCAGACACTCTTAATTAATTTAAATAGTGTCTGGCTGATCACATCAGATAGAGGAGTTAGTCTGAAGGACTTCCAGCTTGCTTAAAGAAATGGGCGATAATATGCAGTGGAGAGGAGAATTTTCAGTCGGACCTGATGCTGCTGCCCAAATGGTTTCAGCAGTTTCATGACTTGTTTAGGGGAAATTTCTTTAGAAATTTCTACTCTTTCTGGGTAGAAAGTCGTCTTGGTGTTTGAAGGTGGGTTGGGTTTCAGTGTAATGAGAAAGTGTGCAGAGTACAAATTCTTTCATGTCGTTAGTTGGAAATGTGTCATGGGGCTAGAAAGGGAAAAGTCTCGCCTTCAGTTTAATCTAAAAATCCTTCACAATTGATCAAGTTACTCTTTTGTAACATTAAAAATATTTACTGTTTAATGCTCTTTTTTGTTGTTGCTAGGGAGGATTTAGGATTTAGGTTTATATCTGAGCAAGTCAGCCACCACCCACCTATTAGTGCATTTTATTCTGAAGGCCTCAATAAGGACTTTATTTTTCATGGATCAATCTATCCCAAACTAAAATTCTGGGGTTTTTTGGAAAGAGTATAGAAGCGGAGCCTCGGGGAACAATTACTTTGGAGCTTCTGAAGTGAGTATGAGAATTAAATACCTTTTTAATGTTGATCTCCTTAACAGTTACTTGAATAAAAAGCTAGCTGATGACCATTCTGTTGGCTCTTCAAAGGTGATTATCTCAAAACCTCTTTTTCTGAAGAGGTTGTAAGAGTGAATTTACAAGTTGATTTTCACCCCAGTGACACTGGAGCAGGCCTCGTATACCTGTGTGGAAACTTGTGACGTATTTGTGGAAATTATTTATGCAGTTTTGTTGACTTGTGTCACTCTCCTCATGTTCCAAAGCCTTTACTGCTGGGTGTTGGTAAAATGAAAAATTGGGTTAGAATTTGTAATCAAAAGCACAGCAACTGTAAAACTTATTATATCAACTCTGTGAGAAGGAAATGAAATAAAGGGAATATCGCTTTATTAACTTGCCCTGATGTTTAGATACAACTCGTTGTTGGCTTTCAAAGAGAAGTCTGCTTCTTTTCTGTTTTGAAGTTAACTGCTGGCTGTTCGTGGGAGTGCTAAATATTTTGCCCTTGCCATGAACAGAATTGAAACCAGGTTTACATTCCATCTCAAACTCAAGAAAAATATTTATTTCTCTGTTATTCTCTACAGGCATAATGAAGCTTACACGTGGACAAATCCAACCTGTTGTGTACATAATGTAATTATTGGTAAACTGTGGTTAGAACAGTACGGAACAGTAGAAATTGTAAATCACAGGTAATGCTACTTTTGGAACTGAGGGTTGGCTTGTAGGGACTGGTGCATGGCCTCAGAGCAGAGAGTTTTTTGATTTTTGTCAGATTACGTGGGAAACTTTGTGTCGTAGATCCCAAGTCTGGTGGTCTTTTCTTTGTTTTCTTTTCTTCCTTTTTTTCTTTCCTTTCTGACAAATACAAAGTATTTATTGCTCTGGGCATAGTATCATAATAATATTAATGGAAAGCTGAATAAGATTATAAAAAGATAAACTTACTAATGTATTAAGGGGCTTGCTTCTTTTAAGCATGTATTTAATTCCTTTACAGTACTGGAGATAAATGTGTCCTTAATTTTAAACCGTGCGGACTATTTGGGAAAGAGCTTCACAGGGTAGAAGGACACATTCAGGACAAACAGTAAGTGATAAAAGCCTTGTGGCCTCTCTGTTTCTGAGCACTGTGGCATTTCTTTAGTGCTTGCATAATGACTCCAAGTGCTGGACTGCAGAGTTCCTACCAGTGCAGATTGTAACCCGCTTTGTTCCCTGTGTCGGTGTTAAACACCTTGGTTCTAGGATGATCATTTTAAGCATTATTAGAAAAACTCTCCAGTCTTTGGAAATAAAGGCATCCAAGGAGAATGCAGAGTAGTTGCAACTGATTTCCCTGTTGTACGGTCACTATCACCAGCTTCGGTTTAAAATAATGAGAATATGGTTATTAGGGATTTTTAATCAAACCCAAACCTGTTTCGTGAGTCTGAGTCTCTATACTGTAAACCGGTGGCTTTATTACACCCGGACTCGTTTTAACAGCGGCAAAAGCATGTGACTAAGTCAGGAGGATGTGTTCTGCAGGATTGGATGCCAGAAAGGCTGGAATAAAATGAAACCTTTGAGCGTTATCAGACATCTGACTTCTAAGAAATTTGTGAAGAAAGATAAAATACAATGAAGTAGGAAGCTGAGTATTTAATATCAATCAGAATCTGCCTGACTTGTCTTAGAAGACTTGATAAGAAGCAAAAGCTAAATCTCTGTGGCTTTCTCTGCAGCAGAAAGAAGCTGTGCATGATCTATGGCAAGTGGACAGAGTGCTTGTGGTGCACGGATCCTGCCGCCTATGAGACGTACAAAAAGAATGAAAAGAGAGGTGGTGAGCAGAAGAAATTGAAGCCGGTAAGGCGAAGTTATTCTTTAGGGAGAAAAGATAACTGAAGTATGAGAAATGAAAGGAAAGAATCTTCTTTATGGAATTGGTCAAATGGTGATGAATGGAGGATTAAAACGTCCCATGTTAAAATAAATAAAAAAAAGTTTTCACATCAGAAAAATGTAGAGCAGCAACAGGCCTGGTGCTTAGCTCTGGATTCTGTCATGGTACAGGCTTATATTTTGACTTTTTCTCTTTTTAATTTTTTTGAAAAAATAAGGTTCTGTTCGTCTTATGAGAATCAACTCTTTCTTTCCTTCCTTCCTTTTGAATCTATATTTAGATGGGGAACTATCTAACAGTAAACCAGATGTTGACATGGAAAGTAGCCTAAAAGAGTCCTTTAAAAATAATGAATACTCAAACCCAATGATTGAAATTAGACTCTCAACCATATGGAGCTGTTTTCTAGTGTATAAAGCAGGCCCTGTTTAAATTAATAGGGTATTTTTGTGTAAGTGAGCTATGTCAGAGGGAGTAGAAAGAAAATAGAAAGGGTGTGAAGATGAGGGGAGGGAGCAAAATTGTGTTACTATTACTCTAGGTTGTTATTGCCTCAAACTTCCCTTCTGGTTGTTGTGGTTTAAAGTGGTTTCTCGTGGTGAAAACCTCTGAAGTTCCACAGCCTAGTTCTGTGTGTCCTGTGGCAGTCAGATTCTCCAGGATTCCAAGAAGAATGCTGCATTTAATTTTATATATGTGCATTATGGCTGTGCATCTGATAACAAAGGAACTTGGAAGGAAAGACCCTGTATTTACAAACTTAAGTACAAAGTCTCTGTAGTGGGCAAGTCGGCAGTGGTAATAGTTACCATAAATCTAAATCCCAGGAAATCAGAGTGAAACAAGGGCCTGTCTTTTCTTAATTGTGTGTGCACAGCTCTTGCAAATGATGAAGGAATATCCCAAAGCAGGCAGGATCTATTGACCATTCCTGTGCCATTATGGCAACGGGTTTAAGTGGGAGTATGGGCTCATTTCAGCCTGAAGCAGTGGCCATATCACATAAAATTAAGCTGGGGCATGAGATGGGGGGAAGCCAGAGAAAGGACTTCTGAAAGATGTGAGTTTACTATTATTAATTTTTTCCAAACAGACATTCAAGTTGTACATAGGTGGTCGGAGACTCTTTGGAGATCTAAGGAGCAAGATGTTAAGATAAAAATGAGAGGAAGGGCATACAGATAAAAATGAGAAGGACTGTATACAGGGCGAGGAAAAACAAACATGAGGGGTGAGGCAGAAGTACAGGACGTGTCTAATAACGCAGGAGAGTGTTTTAATATCTCGAATTCACAGAGATTCTTCAACAGTCACTACAGAACTCTGAATGAAACCGTCCAATTTCCCTTTGTTCCCCTCCCAAATGTTATCCCTGTGTTTCAGAGCGAAGATGTTATTAAATCTGAAAATGATGAGGCTGATGATATGCCGGAGGTTCAAGACACGGTGCAGTTCATACCAGGCAGTAAATTGCTTTGGAGAATAAATAGCAGGCCACCAAACTCATCGCAGGTAAGTGTTCTAATCAGTGTGTGTACTGCTGTCACTGGTGACTTCTCCGTGGGAACATGAGTAATGTTCAAGGGAAACCTTCTTGAAGGGTCTGTCCTGAGCAGGATATCTGACTGCAGCTGCTTCGGGGGGAGTCTGGGGCCTCGGGTGACCCCGCCTGCGGGATCTTTGCACTCGGAGGAGCTAAAATACAGATACACGGTCCCTTCTGCTGACCTTGCTGTTAGAGGACAGGCTTCCAAAAAATACGCCAACCAAGCAGCTGGATATTAACTTCAGTAGTTTCAGCAAGACTTTCTGATGTGATTGTGTTGTGGGTTTGGGGTTTTTTTTTCCATAAAAATCATGGTGTTAAATATGGAGGAAAATCTGTCTTGATCCTCTGAAGCAATGACTGCTTAATAAGTGAAAGCTGTGATTTCCATTCCCTTCTGCCCTCCTTTGTCCTTCCCCTCCAACAATGACAAAATAAAAGTTTTGTATGAATCTAACTTCACTTTCCGGATGGCCAGAGGGAGAAGATTTGACTCGGTGATTTCTCCTGGAAGTTTTGTCATATCCATTGATAATAGGGAGCCCAGGGCCGCTTTGCCACACTAACTTGTGTGTTGTCTTGTCTTTGCTTTCAAGATGTACAATTTCACCAGTTTTGCTGTGAGCCTCAATGAGCTGGAAAAGGGCATGGAAGCAATATTAGCTCCCACTGACTGTCGGCTACGTCCAGATATCAGAAATATGGAAAATGGAAACATGGGTATGTGTTTGGAGGAACTGTTTTCCCATTAGTGAGTTTTGAGAGGAATGACTGACGGGAGGTTGGGTGATACAGGGACACTGTCTTCAGTTTCTCATTCCCAGAGCAGCCTGTGTTAATGAACGCGCTTTTGAACAACATATGATGTTCTGTTTTCTCCCAGAAATATCTGGGAGAGCAGATGTGCTTAAGGTGGATCCCAAGACCGCTGTCCTGTGTTAGGGTGTAGTTGCATGTTTGTTAAGAGCAGATGTGCTCTCTGGCTCTGGAGTTTCTCTGGAAAGACATGTGGCGAACAGCCGTGCTGCGTTGCTCTGGCGTTCGTCAGAAAAAAAACAACACGTGGCCAAACAGTGAAAAAAATCTCTCTGTTACGCCTAGTCTGTGTTCTTTCCTGCTGTCTCCGTCCAGTGCTTCTGATCGATAAAACACCAGCGTTTCAGTTCTGTTTGTAGCAGCAGCTTTTCTAAAATGACAGTTTTAATTTTTTGCTGCCTGAGATTTCCATTGTTCAGTGAGTCTGTGTACAGCAAATGCTTTCTCTTGCTTAATCGAACTGTATTTCATTTCTCTCTCCTAAGTTTTTGTTTCTGCTTTGCCGAGTAACCAGTTTCTTTTTAAATGTTTGTTAGATGCGGCTAGCAAAGAAAAAGAGAGACTAGAAGAGAAGCAAAGAGCTGCTCGCAAGGAGCGTGCGAAGGATGAGGTGGAGTGGCACACACGGTAAGGGGGAAGGAAGTTGGGCATTTGTTTAACGCTTGGAATAGTTTGGTATATGCTTGAAGTGTTTTTATTCAAGACAGTGTGTGTTTGATTTCCTGCACAACAGGACAGTTTGTAGTGTCACTTAAAGCATTCGCTGGCTCAACAATTAAATAACATAGCTGATAACTTTGTCCTGGAGAAGTTATCTAATAATAAATGCTGAAACCTGCCACAGTCACTACTGTGGTAGTGCTGGATTTCTGTGGTTTTGTTTTTTAAAACCTACAGAGGTCATATTTTTGTTAAAACGAATAAAATGTGAAGTCTCTTCTTTCCTGGAATTCCTGTCCAGCTTTTGGCACTTGTGTAAGATGTTGGTGGCCCTTGAGAGCTTTTTATATTCATACTCTTGGGAGCTCATGGCTTGGATACTTCGGAAACTGCTTTTTTGATTCCTTATTCAAGTGACTTCTCAGTCACAGGACGCACCAGGGGATGATGTGTGTGATTTGGCTTCTGCTCCCGCTGGTTGCTTTTCACAGATGCCAACGCTCTGCAGTCGAGTCACGGCACCTTACTGCAGGTGCTTCCTTCCAAGCCAAGAACTTTAAGATGCTCCCATGATTTCATGAAATTCAGAAGAGAAAGCATTCTCTTCTCCAAGCCTGGAGGAGCCGCTACAGAGTAATTCCAGTTAATGCCTTGAAAAATCTCTTCCAGAGAACACAAAATTGTTTTCAGTCAACGTGGCTAAAAAGTGAGCATCTGTGAATGTTCTGGGTGAAGCAGAGCTCCGGAGAACAAAACTGTTTCCTGCTTGGGCAGGTTTACAAAGAGGATTGTGTAACCAATTTGGCATTCTTTTAAAGTAAAAATGAATATATATAATCAGTATATAATCTGGAGTGTCAATGTTATTTTTATTTGGAATAGGACAGCAATTTAAAAATCCATTTCATACTCCTTCTTGACTTTATGTAAAAAAAAAAATAAAAAAAAGATGCTTCACAAGGTGGTGATAATTGTGTAGGAAGCTTAATGCCTGGTTTTTCATGTGGAGAATATTTCCTGAGTTTGTTTGTTTTTTTTGATAAGAAATACCAGTGGGTTTTTACAGTATTTTGTGAAAGAAGCAAAGTTGTTGGGTTTTTTGTTCCCCTCTGTTAATAACTGTTCACTGTGCTTGCTTTTTTCTTTTTATTGTTGTTTTTTTTTTTTATTACAGATGGTTTCATCAAGGCACTAACCCATACACTGGGACTTCAGATTGGCTGTACTCAGGTGGCTATTTCGACAGGAATTTCTCAGACTGTCCAGACATTTACTGAAATTACAGAACCAATTGCTCATCTCATCTGGACATCTAGTTACTAGATTTCATTCCGAGCCAGTTCCTCTGGTTTTGTTGATAGCAAAAACAAGCTTTTCTAAGCAAATTTTAACAAAAATTCTGTGGGTCAACAATCAAGGATTTAATTATCACTAACGTTGAATTGCCAAATATTTAAATACTGTTACATTCTTTCCATAAAGCTGCACCTGAAATCATGATATTTTCACTAATTTTCAAAGGGACCTTTGGTGGTTCTTTTTTTTTTTTTTCTTTTTTTTTTTTCCTCCCACCAGCCCCTAGTTTCTTTGTCAGGAAGATACGCTGTATCTGGTAGAGCACATAACATCCTTGAAAACTGCATAAAATAGAGATAATATCCTCGTTACTTAGTACAGTAGTGAAGAATCTGAAGTTTTGGGAACTCGGAGCAGGGATGAAAAGCGAAATGTGGTACCGAGAGGATCCAATCTCGTGCTGTCGGTACTGCCCGTGAGGAGCCGCGTGTGTGTCACCCTGGGGGACGGAGCGCTCCGTGGGGGCTGGAGCTCCCGGCTCCCCTGGCTCTCAAAAGAATTCAACAAGAAATTGAGAGACTCGGGGAAGCAAAAAACAACCAACCTGAGCTTCTCAAACCGTAGTTGTCTGTCACAACTTTTGGACACTGTGAGCATTAAACTGTGTTACCTGTGATTAAAATGACATCAAAGCATCCATTAGGAAGAGGGAAGGGCACATTGAGAAATGTGCTTTTTCTGAAGTCAGATGCTGTTCTTTAAAATAGGAGGAGTTTCAGAAGCAATTGCAGGAATGTAGAGGTGGTGACCATGTACAATATCTTGCTTGCTACCACTTGGAGGCTTAAATCTTCTGCACTACCTTTGGCAGCTTTGGCACTGTGTATGCTTCTAGACTAAACTTTCCTTTGGAGGCACTTTGGTATGTATATCCACACAGGTTCATGTTTTGGGGAAGTTTTGGTTTGCATGTTTCTCATTATTAGGTCATGTCTCTCTTGTATGTTGTGGAAAAAAAAAAAAAGCAGAATCAATTTAAAGCTTTGGCAGAGTTATACCTATTGCCAGTTTTCTGTGAGCACGTGTTGTCAAAAAGTGGGATTTCTTTTGTTCCTTATCAACCCATCAAAGCCATGTAATACTAGAAGTAATCAATTACTGAATTGAAGCATTCATTTTCTTTCAAGTGGTACACTTTGAGGGGGGAAGGGGGAAAGAGAGGCTTAAAAAATTAGGTCCAATAATTCAAACTAATCCTGATGTTGCTGCTTCTTTATCAAAGTGTTTAGCTGAGTTACCAGGTAAAAATGGAGAGCGGCTGCACTGCTATGAAGTTACAGTAATTCAGAAATTGCTGGTGTTAAATGCCAGCAACTTGAGGAACTCATGAAAGAGCTGGTCTGATTCATGTCCAAATCCTCTGGGGTTGCATCCAGAGAGTAGGTTTTCGAAGGTGCTTCTCTCCCAGCCATGGGACTCAAAACCCAAAAGAACACACTCACAGAGAAACATTTTTGTAGCAAATCATGCATCTACTAATTGGATTAACTTGAAATTTGGGGGAAATTTAGTTGTTGTCTAAATTGGAAAAATAAGAGAAGCAGTAAGGGCCTAATCTGAAACGTGCTCATGGTGACTTTCTGCTGTTGCCAGAAGCGGAGCTTTGTTTTGGTAACGAGTCTTTCGGGCTCACAAGTGAGACTTGGTAACACGGCTCAGACTATAGAGTTGTCTTTGTACCTAGTAACTGCCTGGGCACTTGACCTTTTAAAAGACATTGCTGATCCACGTGGGACAGCATAAAAACTATTTTTATAAAAAATTGGACTTGAATGACTGTGCCAGGCACTGTAACCCCCTTCCCAAACTCGCTGCGAGCAGCGTGGGGAGCTCTTTGTTGGGTGAGGATTGAAAAGGTTCATATGCTCAGCCAGTTTAACATCTCATGGTAGTTTAAAAGTTGCTTAAACTCAATAGTATGTTTAATGCTGGCGTAGTGTTTTTAAAACAACGCATATAAATAGAATTTGCCCAAAAGGAAAAACCGTAGAGTAATTGCTAAAGAAATATTCTGTTTAAAAGAAGACGTGTACAGGTTAGCATCCCTCTCGTCTAAGTTATGATTTCAATTCAAAGACCTAAAGTCTAGCCATTATGTGAAAGCATGAAAAAAAACCTGTAACAACGTGTTTAATCCAAACTTCAGTGTAGAATCTTCATGGGATTTAAAAAGAAACTGGGAAGATTTCTAAAGTAAGAACACTTCATTAGCTGTGTCTTCACCCCCTTCGCCCCTTCCTCTAGTGTAAAGTTTTTAGTAAAATTTCAGAGTAGTTCCAAATCCATTCTTCTAATTTATTGTTCTTCATTGATAACACTTAGCAAATACTTTCCCCTCATTGCCGGCACGTCTATGCTTGGCTCGCCATGGGGCTCCTAATGCTCTGAAAGTGAAAAAGTTTTATTTTTGATGCAGATCTCGCCTCGGCAGTTACGTGTCAGAACATTAACTTTGCACCTTTTGAAAGAATGTCACTTTTATAACTTGATTAAACACTGTATATAAGATAACTGTGTTAGTATATGTTAATACAGCTATGTAGAGAAACCATCTAGAAAGAAATTATAATAAATACTTAATAACCTTTGGGCCTCTAGATGGTGATGGAGAGATTTTTTTTGTGAGGATCTTACAGCCGGGCAGCTGTCTGGTGGGGCGAGAGGAGAGAGCTGGAGGCGACTCTGGCTTTGTTAAGCCATGTTTGTGTCCGTGCTGTTTTCACTGTGGTGTTTATTACGGAGACGATTTAAATCAGAACTTTGAACACCGTCAGAGCTTTTCCCTGGCCGGGGTGGGCTGGGTTGCAGGGGCCTGGGGTGGGAGCGCAGGGCCTCATGTCTTGGCTGGAGCAGAGGAGCAGGTGGACTTGGACTGACAAACGTAGTGGAAATGAAAATTCACTTTTTGGTTGCTCTGTGGCGTTTGTGTCTCGCTGTGAATGGGGAACAGCTCGTTCAGACACCCGGTGTGGATGTAATTCTTGGTATCCAGGTTAAGAAGGGCGGGAAGCATGGGCCCTAAATTACCCAGGAAAAAACCACTCTTATTAGCAGTTTTTATTCCTCTTCAAACATAATTTCCCAGTATTTTTTGCTGAAAAATGGGGGGTTTTAATTAAAAAAACCCCACAGAATTGAGA